CGCCTTTCTACCGCCCTCCAATCCCTCGTTTCATCCACCACTTCCCCTCTCCGCTCATCCCTCCTTCCAATCCCGTACGATGCAATCGACCAAATCATTAAGCAGGATTTTGAGAACGAAAAGCCTGTTGAAGGGGTTTATGTATACATTCTTTCTCTGGGTTCAACTTCGAAGCCGTATGCTTATAGCTACTCCCATGGAGACGCATCTCCTGGCGTCACCAAATGTTTGGGGAGTATCTGGACGGGAAAAGAGAGGTATATCTGGATTGATCTTGGAGCGGGACCGGTAGATTATGGGCCTGCTTTGTCCGGAGATGGTGTTCTGCCTAGAGGGGAGTTTCATCCTCTTGCGGCATTGCATGGGAGACCCAAGTCGCAGAAGGCGTTGCTTGCGGATTTGGCGTCTCTAATTCACAGTGCTTATCAGGTACTTGTTGTGCCCTCTTTGAGAATTCCCGTGTATTTTGAGAACTCTTTGATTGTTCAGTTTATTCATATTTACGGGTCAGAGAGCAAGGATTCTACTGGTTTGGATTGGAAAGCTATAGAGAGGACATTTATGGATGAGGTCAATGATGGTGGGTTGTTGTTGGGGGGTCAGTCTTTGAGTTTTAATCATTACAGTATAAATTTTGAGGACTGTTCTATTTGCTCCTTTGCAATTTCACGGTCCATCAATTCTTACACTTCGAGGTTCTTGTTTGACAACTATACTTTGATTGTAAGTGAATATTTGGATTCAAAGCGTTTGCATCAGATACTGTCTGACTCTGCTGAGGAGTTTAGGAGGGCTGCAGGCTTGCCAGAGGAGGATTTCAGTAAGGTTCTTCCTGTCTATGTGTTTGATTTGGACCATAATATGCTACTGCTGCTTGACCGTTATCATGAGTCTATTGCATTCAGAGATATGGTTATTGCCGTGAGAACAAAGATTGCTCAGACTGTGAATGATTACAGCTGTAATGGTCGTCATGTGTTTACCAGAACACGAGAGCTTGAGCGACCACTTGTAGGTTCTATTTTACAGAGCATGTGGGGAGTATCTCCCACGCATTTGTCCTGGAGCCTGAGGCATAATAGTACTCTGGTGGATTATACCTGGAGTATTGGGCAGACACCATTTGGACCATTTTCGGAGATTTCATCATTGTCTTTTGTGCAGAAGGATGCTGCTCGGAGAAATGTTCTTTTGACATCCTTGAATTACAGTATAACAAGTGCCATTGATGTTCTTGATTCTATAGCTGCACATGGTGGGGATAGAAATCTCCTGAAACAGAGCCAGCATGTTCAGTTCACACAGAGATGGAATTTGTTCAGGTACAAGCTGGATAAAGCAGTTTCTGCTTTGTCACATTTCGACTTCAAGATGGCTTTGTTTTACTTGAGGTCCTCAGATCATGATCTTTATGCCATGCACTCATTTGTTTACCATGCATCCCAAGAAATTGAGGCTTCGCTTGTATGTTTTAAGGACCCGGCATTTCCTTGGGCTTCAGTATCACTATCTGCTTTTGGTTTGCTTGCACTCTTTTATGTTTATGGAAAAAGAGACAGACTATTCAGAAACAAAAGGAAGCAGTTTTGAAGGTATTTTAATGAAACAAAATTTGTACCCTTTGAACAACATACTACACGTGTTCCTGTGAGAGGCAACTCTGAAGATCAGAAATTAGCATTCAGTTTCTCAAACATTTAATGCTGTTCTAGAAATCTGTTTTGTCACTTGATTCTTTCCTTTCTGCTTGATCTGTCAATTTATGTTTAGGTTGCATTATTGCATGCTGGATGAATGTTAGATGTAGTTGGAGAATTCCTATTATCTTATGGTATCTGACAGTCTAACCACTTTCAGCTTCCCCTTTCCTCTACTTTTTTACGCGCCCTGACAGATAGATCGGTTAGCCCGCCAATAGATTTGAGATTAACTTGTCGTGACTACTTAGTTTCATTCTTCAAATTCGTCTTTCTTTCTTTTTTCATGTATTTTTTCATGCTCAATCATTAATTGCTTGCCTGTAGCCTCCTACCTCTCAGTTATTGCATAGGCAAAGTGCAATCCGGTATTTTGAGCTAGGGTGTGTTTCTCGCCGTTCATCAATTCTTATTCTTATTTCAGACCTCTTGAGTCCTGACCAATACTGCTTAGAAGTTAGAGCTCATGTGGGGTATGTTCCTTTCCAACATATTTACAAGAAAAGAATGAAGTTCTTGCTGTATCCCTTCCTCTCTAGTGCTCTTTACTTTTATTGAAGAGGATACGTCAATTTTATCCCCACATTAGCTTATCATGCGTGAGCATGAGGTAATTAACTAGAGGTCATTCAATACCTTCAAGATTAAGGAAGGAAACAAAGAAAACATGAAGGAGAAGAAACTAAAGCTTTTGGATATTTACTTTAACAAAAAAAAGTTGTACAAATGTCATCGCCATGTGGAACATACCTCATAACTACCTCACCAAGGCATATTTTTTTATTCACGTTAAAACCCTGATTGAAATGCTTCAATCTTGATTGTTTCTTGAGATACACAATTTTGCCAATCAGCCTCCCATTTCATCTTTTTTTTTTTTCTTCTCCTTATCCAAAATAGGCAAAAGAGTTATCATTTGGTCCCCTTTGCCAAGTCAAGCTTTGCATAGTTAACAACCTAAAAAAATAGTCAAGGGCATGTTCTAATTAGGCACCAATTTTAACAATCAGAATAGAAATTCGCAAATTGAGAAATGCCCTTTTTTCAAACTTTAACAAAGAAAGTGCCCTACCTTTTTTTTTTTAATGTTCAAAGTACCCCCTTGGAAAGCCAGACACGTATGGAGGATTTATCCTTATTATTCCTTAATTCATAAAACGGCATGTAAAAGTTTATATATATGAGGAATTTCTCAAGATATTGAATTAATTATTATTATTATTACAAGCTACTTTTGCTCACAACCATCCTAAATAAGAGGCAAAATCAAAATTCTACTAAAAGAAAAAATAAAATAAAATAAATCAATTTAGAGGTCTTCAAAATTTCTTTGAGAATATTCAATCTTTGTTAATATGCTCTGCGTTTCTTCATATTTTATACATTGACCATATTGCTTTTGGTCACTATCTAGTTATAGCTCTTTCTAAACGGTATTTTTATTTAAATGTTAAAACCCACCATGATCACCTTTTTTTTTTTCTTTTTTAATGTTCCACCATCATCACTTTTTTTTTAAAAAATATTCCACCATAGGCACCCCTTTATTCAGTGGTTTCATCTAAATTTTCATAAATAATTAAGTGATCCTTTTTGTTCGACTTTGTAAAATAAACAGCATTAATCAGATAGAATGTTTTTCCCTTTTGAAAGCACTTTTGCTTTTCTTTAAAAGTTAAAGTTGCATTAAAAAAAAAAAGAATAAAAACGTGACTAAAGTATACAATTAGCCCCTTACTTATTAAATTTAAAACTTTTAATCCTCATCTTATATTGTGAAGTTTTTTTATCCCATAAATTTAAAGGTTAGAAGATTTTAATCCTTAAATTAACGGAATTCATTAACTCTCTGTTGGGGTAAAAATAAAATATTTACATAATTAGTCCTAAAATATTAAAAATATAACAATTTAGTTTTAAAAGTTTAAAAATTAAAAAAATAGTAAACTAAAAAGAATTAATAAATGACTTTTTCACATATATTAAAATAATATTAAATATTTATAATAAATCAAGCAATTAACTCAATTTGAAGAAATAAATCTGACTAAAATTAAAAAAATATATTTAACTGAGTTAAGATAGAAAGTTTAAGAAATTAAAAGAATATAGTCAATAAATTTTCTTTAATCTTAGGCTTCTTTCTTTAGATTATACTAATCACTCAAGTTGATTGTTGATTTCTAATATTATTCTCATGTATGTAGCAAAGTCATTTATTAATTATTTTTAATTTAGTAATTTTTTAAAAATTTTAAATTTTTAAAACTAAATTGTTACATTTTTAATCTTTAAAGACTAATTTTATAAATATTTTATTCTTACTTTAATATATAGTTAACAAATTTTGTTAATTTAGAAGTTAAAATTTTTAAACCTTTAAATTTAAAGCTAAAAGTTTTTATAGTATAAAAATAAGAGATTAAAAGTTTTAAATTTATTAAAATAAATGAGTAAATACATAGTTTGACATTAAAACGTTGCATATTCATAGTTCAGGAAAAAGAACTTTCGCGTGCACATACTTTCAAATTCAATGAATTTCTAATCATTCTAGTTACAGTTTTGCTATAAAAATTCTGTTCAAATAGTACTTTTACCTTAACATACAGAACCAACTGCTCAAAGTCACTATGCTCATGATTATGAGCAGGGATTAACCTAAAACCTTTTCATCAAAAAGAAACAGAAAAGTTGTGAGAAAGATTATGGTGATTACACGAGGCCAGCACCTTGCAATTCTCATGATAGGTTCATGTAGAATCAGATATTTGTGCCATACGTGGATTAGTCAATCTACATATATAAAAAGGTGGGGAAAAGGAAAAACAAGAAAATGGGTGGAATTGTAACCCGTAAAACCACAAAACATTGTGTACTTGTTTTCAACATTTTGTGCGGCAGCGGCTTTCAACTTCCATAACGAAAAAGACAAATTTGAATCCCACCAACCCCATTTGGCTTTTACTCTTTCCACGAAGCCTTACAACTTACACAACTTCTTCTTCTCCCTTGAAATTTCAAACGACATAAAATAAAATAAAATCTCAAATGTAATTAGGTACTTATTTATCTTTTTATATGTGTGGATAGAAAAAATTATACAAAAATTTATTTTTTTTAATATATTTTTTTATTCGTGTTAAACGCATTACTATCCTTATTTGATTATGAGATAATCACTATATTTTTTTTACACATTAATCATGATAGCTTTAAGTGACCTTTTCTTCTCATAATCTATTTCTTTATATATTAATTTTTTAATGAGATGTTAATGGTCATTTCTCTTCATCACCTCATTGGTGGTAGCAAAATATGGTAGATAGACATTGTAGATAGAAGTACGTTTTGACAATGTTGTTCACACGTACTGTGGAATGAGGAGGATATCAAGTTAGTTGATCGATCCATCAGTTTGCTGTTTGTGAATTCAAGTGTTGAATCATTTTCATTAAAGGATGTATGTAAGCCTTTCCATTTTCTTTTACAACTTCACCGCTTGCTTTTTCTTGAAAATTTCTTCATGTGAACTAGGATTGATTCCCCTGTACACTAATTAAGACTTTAAGAGCATATAACGTAGGATGTTCGACTATTATAGATTGAGAATAATCAAGCAAATATGTGGAATTAAAGGCATAAGTGTTTTCTAGAACTTTAATTTTGTCCTCTTGCAGAGCATGAAAGGAAAATGTCAGAGTTGGCTTGGTACATTTGGAAGATTTTGAGTGAAGAAAAAAAAAAGGTGAGATATTAAAATGCGGGCTGTTATGGTTCTTGTGAAAAAAAATGTGGGCTAAACATGTACTTGTGATTTATATCTTCTAGTTTGCAGTCTCAAATAATTTTTTGTTTTGCAGTTACCTAAATAGTTAATAATAATCTTTTTTATATGAATAAGATATTTTAAATTTAAATTACATAATATATTTGTAAAATAAATTATAGAATAGAAAAGGGTGTTCATAAAAAAAATTATCTTTTATTATACAACTTAATATCATATATATAATTTCCTTTTTTAGAGGCCTAAACATTTATTTTGTCTTATTTATATATGGTTTTGGAATTTTGAAAAATAATTCTTTGTATGGGATAATTAATTAATTTCTTAGTCATATACCTCCTTTTCCTCTATTACAGAATTGATCTTTAGTTGTTACCAGTTTAATTTTTTAAATTAGTAAATTGCAAGCCATTTTGGAACAAGAGGAGGCTATGTATCCTGTCGACCTAATTAACCACTTTTCAAGATTGACTCTTTAGAACTTTCATTAGTTTTCTTCATCTTTCCGTGCGAAATGAGAAAGCAATATTTGACATTTTCAACGTCGATTAGTAAACATCAAGAAGTTAACATTTTTTTTATACCAAAAAAATATATTTTTTAGATAAGTAGTTAGAATATGACGTTAAAATTACGAAATTAAAATTTTATGAAAAAGATTTGTAAACAACATTATTGAGTACATTTTGAGTAAAAATAAGGGGTGTTTGTTTAATTACATACCAGGAAACGTTTATCAAATGTTAGTTCTATTTACCAATAACTTGTTAGTTTGAGTGGAATAAGTTTGGTTACCTTTAAATAAAGTATCAAATTCAAGTTTTGTTAGTAGAAAAATAAGAGTTAAAAGAGTTTTTCTTTAACCGATATGGTTTGATTCTGAATTAATCGAAACTCAATATAGTTACCGAATATCAAGAGGTTGATACAAAATAAATATTAGTTCTATTTAAATAAATAATAGTGTTTAAAATATAATAATTATTAATTATTGAATATTAATTATTAATTAGATTTAAATATATAATACAAACACCCCTCGAGAGATATATATATATATATATAACCTAAAAAAGAAAAAAAAGAAAAAAAAAAAAAGAAAATGGCTCAAGAGAGTGTCTAAAGCTCAATTGATGAGAGTTTAGGACTTTATGTTAAATATCTCAATTGAATTTATAACAACTGAAATGAAATTTGAGAAAAATAAGGTTTTATAAGTTGTCATATCGTATGGGCCAAGAAAAAAAAGGTAAAAAAAAAGATATAAATAATCATTTTCAAGATCCATAATGAACTGTCCTTTCTTTTTCATTTTTTATTTTTTAATCTTCAAATCACCATATATTGTTATTTATTTAAAGCATAATAAATGAAAGATTACATGCGCTGCATATATTCCTTTTTTTCCTTGTTATACATGGAACATGGTTAAAAATGTGGGCTGCACATTTTTTCCTTTTTTTTTTTTTGGTTATCTTCCAGTCACCAGTCCACAGTCTCACAACATTCCTTATTTGAAACCTATAATGCAATCTAAAGAAATGGTATTAAGGTGGCCTTAATACCATTAACATAATATAAAGAAATGGTATTAATGTATTAAGGTAACCTTAATACCATTAATAATATAAAGAAAGGGTATTAATGTAACCCCACAAACATAATAAACCAAAAGAAAAAAGAAAAAAAAAAAAGAACTAGCCTCTTTTTTTTAAAAAAAAAAATCTTTTTCAAATTCATAGAAAATGAAAATTAAATGTTAAACATTTAAAGGGAGTATTGTGAATCAAATTCACTTTAGTGCATGTTTTGTCTTTCACTTTTTATCTTCCTCATCTCTCATATCTTCCAATATAATTAAATACCAATTAACATTTTCATAATTTCATATGTTTATATATTTTTATATAATAATAATTAACACTCACTTTCTTATATATTTACATAATGATCAATTATTATTTAGTGAGTAACTTTTTCTTATAACTTTTACTATTCTTCTCACCTATATATAAAGATTGTAACTTGTGTGGAAATAGTATAAATAAAGAAAATAAATAAAATTCTTCATAGTCTCTTTATCTCCCTTTAACCTTTTTTTTTTTTTTTAACATGCTTTAACCTATTTATTTCATACGTCTTTTTCTACTTATTTATATTTTTTTTATTTAACCAAAGTCTGCATTTTCTTGGTTTTTTTCCTCCGGGGGTTGATTGTTAAAAGATGAAAAACTGAAGGGAAAAAGTAAACAATTGAAAGTTGGGAGAGTGGATAAAAATCCGCTGTTTGAACAGCCCACGGTAATCCTCGACTATGGCCCCTGGTTTTGGCGTCCTCAAACAAATCAACACTTCACTCTTCCCCTTTCAGCTTAACCCTAAACCCCCATTTGTGTGTCCCTTTTATAATACCCCATCAGTCCTCCTTCTTCATCACCTACAGAGATGCCTTTCTTCACATCTATGTTTTTCCCTGTCCTGTACCTCTTATTCTGCACAGAAAACCCATCCTGAGTTCTGTGCCGCACAGTTGTTTCTTACCTCCCCCTGTTTCCTCTGTTTCTCTGGATTTATCACTCTTCCTTGGTTTCTCCTCCTTCTCTTTGATACCCAGATCGTTTTTTCTGGTTTTAAAGAGTTTTGGAGAATACCCATATTGTTTTAGGTCTTGTTCTTAGTTGGATAGTGTTGGTTTGATATTTTTCTCCATTGGGATTGGAGAATTCTAGTAGAATTTTGATCCTGAATGGGGATTGAGGCTAAGCTGGCTGAAATTAAAGGGAAAGAGTTATCCAAATTTCCAGAGGAAACGCGTGCCAATAGCATTACCAATTCAAATACCAGGAGGAACAGAACTAGTTCGAAATCGAATCAGAAAGGGAAGAAGAACAAGAGGCGGCAGAAGAAGATGGCAGTTTCCCCAGTTCAGAGGCTGTACGATACCTGCAAAGAAGTATTTGCCTCTTGTGGGGCTGGAATTGTCCCCTCCCCTGAGGATATCGAACGGTTACAGACAGTTTTGGGTATGTTTTAATCATATTCTGCTCAATCATTTGGTGCAATCGTAGGTTGTGTGGGGTGTGGTTCGATTGTAATGTCTAAATGTAGGTTCTTGGCATGAATTAATTCTTCAAATTGTTAACTTGATTGCATTTGTTGGTTTTATGGGATGGTTGTAATTGGTTTCTCCATATTCGACTAAATTTTGGTTTAGCATAGCTAATTGTTTTGCTTTAGCTAAAGCTTCAGTTTTTTGGCCATTACTTACCATTTTCATAAAAAAAAATTTGCTTTCACAAGAAGGGTCTTCTTTTAATGCCATATCTCTGTACTTGAATTGCCCTCCTTATCCACAATTCATTCGTTTCTCTGAGGGTAATCTTATCAAAGTTATTAACAAGTACTTGCCATTATAGGTGGGAAAGGGAGCTAGTAGAAAAAAAAAATTTTGAATTTTATCAATTTTTCCTTATTTTCCTGCACATTATTTGGAATATTTGTGTCATAGAGTTCTCGCTACGTTATTTTATTCAGATTCATCTTTTCCCCGGCATATGGTGCATAAATTTTTATTCTATGGTCTGTACATGCAAGTTTGTGTTAGTTTTTATGATTATTGTTGGTTAAGATTTTCAATCTTTATTTTTTATTTTAAATATCATTCTAGTACGGATGTTAGAAGAAATAGACCTGCATTTTAATTAAGCCCTTAATTTGTTATATAAAACATATATAATAGAAGTTAGAGGAAGAAGAGATCCTACTTATAAGCATTTAGCAAACTGTGGTTTTGGTTGGTTTATGGTTTCAATAAACTTGCAAGATAGTGATGCCCTTCTGTTCTGCATGTTTGTTTCTTTCTTTCATCATGGCCTTTTCAACTCAATCTATTAGCTTTTGTAAATAATAAACTTTTAGAGTGTCTTCTGTCTTTGAGCCGCTAAAGACAAGCTCTACATAAAATTTTTGTTTTCCCTCTTAAAGATTTTAATGGTTTGAAGTTGGAGATACAAAGCGGAGTGCACAAGTACATGAACCATATGGAAGGCGCTGCTTGTGCGTCAGTGACATTAATTCATTTCATCATTTGTGCAGATGAAATTAAACCAAAAGATGTTGGTCTTACTCCAGGTATGCCAGATTTCTGTGCAGTGGGAACTGGGCGAACCCCACCAATAACGTACCAACACATTTTTGAATGTGACAAGTTTTCCGTATGTAAACCTTCATCTAACCAATTGAGTACGAAATATGGAGGGAATCAATTGTCCTGGGGCTTACATATTTTTTCTTTTAAATTTTTGCAGATGGGGATCTTTTGTCTGCCACCATCTGGTGTCATTCCTCTACACGATCACCCTGAGATGACAGTTTTCAGTAAGCTCCTCTTCGGGACCATGCACATCAAATCTTATGACTGGGTGGGTGATGGACCTTGCAACACTTCAGCAGTTATGGGTTCTTCACAGACACAGAGTAAGTGTCGCTTATTAAAAGCAAGGTTTTCTAATTTTCTTTCATACGTTTCTTGGGTGAATATCTTTCTTTAACGGAGAAGGCAGTTTCACAAACTTAAGATGTTGATTAATATACATGATGTGTGCACTGCTTTAGAAAATTGAAAAAGATGTAATAAGATTAGGATTTAATGTTTGTTTTTCCTTTTTCAGGAGTTGTGACTAATTTGTCATAGAAATGAAAGCAAACTTGCAAAAGCATATAATTTCAACCCGCTTAGCAACTTCTGAAAGAAGTTTTAAAATGGTAGTCAAATTTTAGTTTTGGTCAAGATCAGAATTTGATCCTAGTATATGGAGTTTCTAAAAGAGGAGGGGTTGGGTGGTTGAGAAATTAGAAGAAGCATTAAATTGTTTACTTCCCTATTAGTCTTGGTAGTTATTAGCTAACAGCTTCTGGATGAACTGCTAGTAATGTATGACTGCTAAATTTTAATCTTAGAAATTTACATCCTGTCGCCTGCTCAAGAATAGCAGCATAGGATAATGGGAGAACCACTTGCCGTGTTTTGAGCATGTTCAGGATAGCATTATTTTCAGGACCAACAACCACAGAGCATACCTGGGGAGCTTCTAATGCATGTCTCCTTTACGTAAATAGGAATAAATTACTTTGACATCACATTTTTGTCTCTGTAGGTCAGCAACCTGAAGTCCGGTTGGCCAAGGTTAAGGTTAACTCCAACTTCACTGCTCCTTGCAAAACCTCTATCCTTTTCCCAGCTGACGGAGGCAATATGCATTGCTTCACAGCCGTGACAGCCTGTGCGGTGCTAGATGTGCTTGGCCCTCCATACGATGATCTTAGAGGACGGCCCTGCACCTACTACCGTGAATTTCCCTTCTCCAAGTTCTCAGGTTCCACACGGCATCCTGATCTTTTAATTTTGCTACTCTTTTTCTTGCTTAACATGGTGTTGCCATTTCTTTGCTCATTCTGAAAATCTAAGATTTTTTTCTCTGGACATCTAAAAAAAATTTCAGTTGATGGCGTATCAGTACCTGAAGCAGATAAGGATGTTCATGGATGGCTTCAGGAGAGAAAGGGGAAACTGGAGGACTTGGTTGTCACTGGAGCAACGTACAGAGGTCCAGCAATCGTGGAGAATTGATTATAAAGCCATCAGAAAAAAAAAAAAAAATTGTTGCAATACTCTGCATCTTCTCAACCATGTACTTTCAGCTACTCATGCAACAACAGGAATTTTTCTTCCTTTCTTTTTTTTTCCCTGTTTCTTTCTCCTGAGTGGGACATCACATCAACAAAGAGCAGTACTCTCTGCTTTTCCCTTTTTACAATCCTACAGTTTCTGTACATAAAAGGGTAAAAAAAAGTAAACGAAACTGTTGATTAGTGGTCCGACAGGCACTGTTGTAGCTTAACGAGGGAAAACGGAAAATGATAAAAATGGGGTTCTTTTACGAGCATGTCTGTCTCCATTATCCAAAATTGAAACTGTATCCATGGTAGGTGTATGTGAATGAAACTGCTTGGCCATTTTGCAACAGACCACGTTTTCAAGGGCTTTTCATTGTTGGGTGGTCCTCACTGAATTCTGACTGATCTTTCTATGGCAGACAAGCACAAAGGTTGCTGTCCTGAGGTTCTTTTAACCATATTTACAAATATGCATATACTGCCAGCCATGGACGGATTGTTGTCTGGTTCCATGGCATCTAATATCTCTAAATATTCCGTGTGGAACTGAACCAGCTCTTGCAGGCCTCTAAGTGATTGATTGGGTTTTTATTTTGGTTTTTTTTTTTTTTTTTAATACAGTTATTAATTGTTTATTTTAATTAAATAAATTAAATATTTTAAATTATAATAATTATTATTAATTGTATCAAAAATACTTAATGCAAACCATACCTGACTCTTTGGTACCGACTGATTGAGTTATTCACTGAGGCAAACAACTCCCACTGAGTCATGGCCATAGATGGGAGGAGTTGTTGCTGCAGGCCACGTGTGGTTGTTTTTTTGTTTTTTTGTTTTTCCCTCCTCTAGAAATTGGACGTGTCAAGAGGAGATGGGTTTTCCTTTAACTCAAACTTTGTAAAGTTTGGATGTTGTTTCCATTTCGAATGTCATTTCAGCTGCAAAAGCAGAGCACGTTTGAAATAAAGTGTAGTGTTTCTTAGAAGAAACTGGCAGACAGAGACAATGAGGTTTCCATGACAATAAGTAAAGCAAAAAGAAGGTAACAGCAGAGACACTGAGACAGGAAGCCGAGTTTTACGGAAGTATATTATTAACGTCCATATTAATTAGCATAACATCCTTCTATTCTTCCAAACCAGATAGTTCCCTCACTGATCAACATCAGTTTGGTCAATTTAGTATTTATTAAATTAAAAGGGGTTAATACCATCTATCATCTTTTTACTACAAAAAAATAATGCAATTGAAACTTTATACTATCAATTTAGCTCATGTCCTTCCTTTATTATTAGGTTAAAATCTTTTTTTGGTCCCTAAACTATTATACGGACTCCCAATTTGATTCATAAACTAAAAAAATTTTTGATTTGGTCCCTACTGTTTATCATTTTTACCCCGATTTAGTCCTTCCATTAAAAATTGTGTAACGTGGCGTGTTACTTCACAGTTACCAAATGACATGTCATATAATAATCCATGTGGAAGATAATATAGCCAAAAAGTGATGATGTGAAAAAAATAATAATATAAAAAAATATTATAAAAAATAAAACTTAAAATTTTTTTTCTTTTGTCTTTCTCCTTCTCCTTTCCCTTTCTCTTTCTCCTTCCCCTTTCCCTTCTCTTTGCCCTCGAAACCCAGCAGGCCTAGGTTCCTTCGAACCCACCCAGGCGCTGGGTTCCTTGCGAACCCAGCACGCTTGCCTGGGTTAGGTTCCCTCGAACCCACGCTTGGGTTCTTCAAACCAGCTGGGTCCCATGGAACCCAACCCCGGGTTTGACGGAACCCAGGCGCTGGGTTCTCTCGAACCCAGGCGCTGGGTTCCCTCGAACCCACGCCTAGGTTCTTCGAACCTAGCTGGTTCACTGCTGGGTTCCGTTGAACCCAAGCGTGGGTTCGAAGAACCCAGCACGCTTGGGTTCCTCGAACCCAGGGGTAAAAAATATATATATTTTTTCTGTGGGTTTGGTGTTTGATGATGATGAAAAAAGCAAGGCAAAGAAGAGGAAGGAAAAAAAAAAGGGCGTTGTTGGGTTCGATTCAACCCAGGTGCTGGGTTTGTTTGCTGGAGGAAGAAGATGATGGCAAATTTGTAATTTTGGTGGGCTCCACTTTTGTTGGGTTGGGCAAGAACATGACATATCACGTTGTCATATCATTATTTATTCATTTATACAATTGACATATCTCAAATGTTTGATATGTCATTAAATTGTCGTGAGATAACGGTGATATTTTAACGGAAGGACCAAATCATGGAAAAAATGGTAAACAGTAGGAACTAAATCAGAGATTTTTTTAGTTTAGGGACCAAATCAGAGGTCTGTACAATAATTCAGGGACCAAAATAGGGTTTTAACCTTATTATTAACTAATTTCACTTGTTCTCCCTCTACAATTCAAAAATGTATCAATGTCGTCCCTCCATC